TATTGTTAAGTAATTAACGGGATTTTAGTGAATAAATGTATGTGATTCCATCAGTATTATCACTCACTTTTCTCTGGGATAACAAATCCTGGAGGCGAACATGAATCGTGGCAATGGAAAAAGTAGAAATAGAAAAAGTGCAATAGTTTCATGTTGTGCTGAATCACTATTGTTCATCACAAAGTAGAAATTATAACGAAAAACGTCTGAAGAGCTTTACATTTTTAGTTGTCAAGGTATATTTTTTTTCTTCTGTCTTTTTTTTATATTCCCTTTGTGGTTTAGAAAAATCTACGAAATGCAACAGTATCGTCCAATAAAAGAATGTTTTTCCGTTATTTACTTGTTGTTCTCATAATAGAGTGAAACTATTTTTGAAAGATAAATATTCATTCTAAATTTTTTCTCCGATTGCAGTTGACTGGACAGCTCGAAAATTTTTATATGTAAATTAGTTTGGATTTCGATGGTAAGTTCAATTCTATATGTTCTAGTACAAGAGCAACTCATTTATTTGTGAAAAAGACGATGGATGAACTAGTGAAGTCCCTCTGTAACAAGATAAAGTGTGTAAATGAACTACTCATTCAGAAAGTGTATAGTTTTTCTAGACAATCAGTCTGAGCATGTAAAAGGTTCAAGTGTATCAAGCAAAAAACTTTGTGATTGAGTTTCTAAGTGAAAAAAAGTAGAAAATGAAAAATTAATCTGAAAATCGTGATCAGTATATTTGAAAATAAAAATGTTCTCAGTTCTATCTGAAACGGACGACAAAAAAATACGAAAGAAAAATAATCGATTTCCGTGAGATTCGAACAACTGACTTGTGAGTTTTAGGTATACTAACTCATATTGTTTAAACAGCTAAACCACAGCCTTTGTGGCGGTATATAAATTACATACTGACCAGCAAAATTCTAGACGGTCAAATATTATCGAACTCGGCGCTCACCTTGTGCGTATTATTTACACACTTTATTTTTTATAGTGCATAATATACCACTTGTGGAAATAGAAAATCACTCTTTTAGTTACACATTGCCACCATTTTCAAATCTCAAAATGTTGTCTAACGAGGGAACCTTTCAAGGTGGTAGATCGCTTTTCGTCTCCGATTATTTTCATCATGTAAGGAATAATGAGCAGTGAAAAACCCCAAGTTAGTTTGTGCCCGTGGAGTTTCGGAATGGAGTTGGAGAATTTCAAGTTTATTTTTAAAAGGTCAATTTTACGGTGAAAATTCTCGGTCAGACGAAAGCGATGGAGCTAATATTTTGAGTATGGATTTATGCCCTCCTTGCCTCGACGTAGGCATTCTTTGTGAATTTTTACTCGATCTTATCGATTAATTACTCAAGAGAAATTCTTATATTTCGAAGAGCCGATGAGCAGTAACGCTCAAACTGTCAGAGCATTATGGCCATTAAGACTACTAGCCACAATGAAAATATGACCTCAATCGGGTTCACCGGCAAAATTGAGCTTTTGAAAAAAACTTGAAAATTCTCCAACTCCACTGCAAAACTCCATGGACATAAACCAACTTGGGCCTTTTCACTACTCACTATTCCTTACATAATGGAAATAGTCGGAGTCGAAAATCGATCTACTACCTCGTCAGATGTCTTTTAAAAGACTTTTTAGTAGATTCTGATACAACAGCTTCACGTAGCGTATGATTCCAGTCTCTCACTGCCTGATACAGAATGATCAAATACAGGAATGATTGTAAAAGAGTCTCTGTTCGTGTAAAGAATAAGTGCAAAGTTTTCTGATGGTAAAATTGTTTTCGAAATTTTTTTGAGCTATTTTTAAGTAACAAAAATTTATCGAATGATCCATGCACTGATGGGCGGACTTCAAAAATTTGAAAAAAGAAACGGTTTTCTTTCAGGCAAAAGAGTATATAAAAGGTTTTTGTACAAAACTTTTTAAAAGACGAATGACGGCCGTTATGGCTCTTAGATTCGGAAATGGAACTAAACATAACGAATTCTGGCATCATTGCACACTTCAAACGAGTCTAACAATTATTTACATGTGAATGAGGATATTAGTCTAGAACAGACCTATTAACAAACCTGTTGATGACCCCAACAAATTCATACGAACGTTCGAAGAAGTAATTCAACTATTTGCTCTAACAATGAACTGCATAATTACAATAATTGGCGTTACGTTGGGCGATCATATGTCAAATGAGAAAGTTCTATAAATAACAGGGCAACCACAATTGCATAACATCATGAGGCGAAATAGATTGATGTGGTTTGGAGATGTTAATCGTATGGAAAACGCGAAAAAAGAGCCACAGCTCTTGAAGAAAATGATGTAACTCGTCGACAGCAACACTCTGGTGTGACCAAAACGTGGCAAGGCAAAATTATCGATCATCTGGAAAAGTTCAACATAAGTAACTCGAGAAGAGATACAATGGACAAGGATAAGTGGAGACAAATGATTAATCGAGCTGTGCAGACGAAACCTGCTGATAGCGACATCTAAAGCGTTATTCGAGAATACAGATACCGAGCTATTGCTAGACGAGCGGTTGAACTGGTCAAAACCACCAAAACATTGTTGCTGACAAGGTTGCCGAACATCTACCCTCAGTGCTACTAAATAAGTAAAATGAATGTGGGATGGCTGTTCATAGTCGAACGTGCGATAAGACATTTCATAGGACTACAAAATCCCAAGTGAACACTTCTCAGCGAAGGGTCGCAGAAGTGTTGAAGGGAGACAACTAGAATGAGTACAAGTATCCAAAATGTGGAAAAGTATATAAGCCACAGGGAATCACTGGATATATGAAGGCGTGTGCAAAAGACTGGCAAGAAGGAATGCAGTAGAATGGAGAGCATGTATCATCCAAGGACAGTAAACTCGGACAGATAGAATGACAGCGAAGTATAGCAAGTCGAAATGGCAAAATCAAGGTGAAGGGATATGATGATAGATGCCACAAAATCAAGCTCTACAACCTGATCGTGATATTTCGATGGAGAATCCTTTTCTTCAAGATCCTACGACGATAGAACAAGAGATTCGTCGAATTGATCATTGCTCTTCGGAGCCTAGTTAGATTTCTGATTATCCTTTTTTTGTATATGTTTAGCTCTTGCCTGATCTTCACCCTCACCTCTCTGGATATGGAGTATGTTCGTCTTCTTCTCCCCATTTTGAGGCTTTCCGCAGAAATATTGTCAAGCGTAAACTAAAAATGACTCCATTCCAGGACTATTTAATTTGAGCATCTTTTTATTTCTATTACAAGTTTCTAGCTATCTACGTTTCCGAGTGTTTTTTCCGATGTTTTTCATATCGTTCTATTACGATCCCGCGGTAACTTGATCCTATCGACTTCGAAACTTTGTCATAAATACTAGACAACATTGCCAGGCGTAGATTTCTATTTCTCGTTCTATCATCTTTTCTTTTCGAGTAACAGGAATTTTAAAACTTAGATTTAAAGGCATTTTGTGTTTTTACTATAACTTGAGAGAAAAGATGATATGATGAGAAAAGAAAATTTACACCGGACGATGTTGTCTAGTATTTATGACAAAGTTCTGAGGTCGATCGGATCAAGTTATCGAGGATCGTAATGAAACAATACGAAAAACTGAGTTTTCTAGAAAACTCGGGAACCCGGATAGCTAGAGACATGCGACAAAAATAAAAAAGATGCTCAATTGAGTTTTCAGTTCTGGAATGGAGGCTTAGCATTTAGTTTAGGCTTGACAATATTTCTACGGAAGTAGCAACAGGGGAAGGCATCCTTAATTCTACTTATTCACTTGTACTGTCCCGAAAAACGATCATGGATGGTCTGATAATCCAAGATTTTATTAGACCTGATGTGCACAACTCTGCATTTGCTTTAGCTTCATCTCAAAGCATTTTTCAGAACATAACGAACGCGAGTCCGTTTTTTACCTAGAATCGTCTTATGCGTAGCCATAAAATATTTTGGAACATCGAACATATAACCACAATGCCAGGAAGAAACTGCTTTACTTTCTTACTGAACAGCCATATTGATGAAAATCTTATATGAACCAAAACAGAAAACAGCAGACGAGTTCAGTTAAGACATAAAACCTCATTCAGCAATGACCTACAGACGACCGTCGAAGTCGGCTTATTATTCGAGGAACTCATCCTTGCATAAAAATTCTTTTGTTTATTTTTGTTAGTACTAATGGACATTTGCTGATAAGATTATTTGTTACCCGTGACATCTCAGTTTCTTTCCATCGGAACCGTATCAAAGTGATGTCTGAACCATTTCCCACCACTTGTTTTCGTGACTTTCGATGTGAGGTTTATCACTTTTGTGATATCCCTTAGAATTTTAGAAAACTATTTTTCTCACATTATTCTGAAACCTAATAAAATAGATGTAGTTGCTAATGCTGATCATAAATATCACATTTACAATTAAAAAATATGCCATTTTCACGAAACAAGAAGGTGCTGGCATTTATACCAAAGTTCATCGTACCATCGGCAAAAAGACTTTCTACACCTTAAAATTCTTATGCATCTCACATCTCAATCTACCCCATTTTTTATGTAAATTCTGGACAAAAACAATTTATTTTCCGCATTAAAATTCTCGCATGTTGGCAAATTCAGTAAATATTACTCCAAACCTATTCGATTTTCGGTATTTTTTTTCAAGTTTGACCATGAAGTGCATCTTTCTTTTCAAAGCAAACGATATTTTTTAATTAGCAGGTGAAAAGCTGTATCGATTCAAACGTTGCAGACATTAGTGCAGGTCAGAACGAAGTGGCAGTGATCTCAACAACTGCGATCTGGTTGACTTTATTGTAAGGTTAAAAATATAAAAAGTCTCAGCTTCTGACTATAGTAGTAGCTCAAGTACAATCACTTACATTAATTCAGTTTCTTACGTTCACCGCCCCTCTGGACGATTGCTAGTAAAAAAAGAATAATTAATTTCCTTTTAATTATATTTAGTATTCCAACTCATGGTATACTCAATTAAAGTAGTATCCATACTAATATTTTGTTGTCTTATATTAACATCGTATTTCATTCATTATTATCGTATTTATTATTATTCATCGACAACAACACTATTGCCTACTGTTCGAAAAATTTTCGTCGCCAATAAGAGTATACTTATTCATGCGTCGGCTCGTATAACACAATCCTATAACTGTACTCTACGCGGTGATAAATGGATAATCATAACAACGATTTTTCATCCAACATTGGCAATAAGAAAATTCTTATTATTGTCTACACCTTGGAATTTAATTGTTATTGGCGATCGCAAAACACCGCAAGACTGGATATCGAATATTACCGATCGGTCAAGACTCGTTTATCTCTCCATTGATGAACAATTAAAATTAGATTTTAAACTTATTGATTATTTACCTGAAAAATCATATGCACGTAAAAATATTGGTTATCTCGTGGCTATTCAGTGTGGTGCACGTATTATTTATGAATCGGATGACGATAATTTGTTAGATACAAACGATATTCAGGTACTACCAAAACAAAGTTCACCTGAAGATGTACCTTGGTTTTCGTTTCATAGACAGAGATCACCATTTATCAACATCTATGGTTCATTCGGTCAACCAAACATCTGGCCACGTGGTTTTCCTGTTGAAGAATTCAAAAACATCACAGAAGACGGGTGGTCAACATTGAGACAAAGACAAGATAATGAATCGGTTAATGCTTATATTCAACAATACTTAGCTGATCTCGATCCCGATGTTGATGCTATTTACCGATTGGGACATTCAATGACTCTTGGTAAAATTCGTTTTGATCGTCAGCAACAACCCATCGCATTAGAACCACATACCTATTCACCATATAATACCCAAAATACTGTGACACATTATGAAGCATTTTGGGGTTTGTACCTACCGGTCACAACAACATTTCGTGTTTGTGATATTTGGCGTAGTTATTGGGTGCAACGTCTTCTATGGGATATCGGTGGTCACCTGGTGTTTGGTACAGCAACTGTTGAACAACATCGTAATACACATTCGTATGTCAAAGATATGGACGAAGAACAACAAATGTACCATCAATCAGGTAAATTTGTTCGATTTCTCGATCAATGGCAATCGTCATTACCAACATTATTTGAACGAATTTCACAAATATCGCGTGATATTGCCCAACAAGAATTTTGGGATAAAAGTGAAACCGATATGATTGATGCATGGCTTACAGATCTTCATCGTATCGGCTATACACTACCAATACCCGTCACAACTCCACAGAGTAAGAAATTATCTTCTTCACTTCAGAAACGAACAGCGGTTTGTGTCACTGACGTCACTGAATGCATAAACGAAGCTTGGAGTATAACTGAACAAAAGATACGTAAACTTTTAAATGGTGATATCGATGTATTTCTTTACTTATCATCAACAATGCGTATTGCAGATCAGCCATCAACTGTTCCTTTAGAAACTCGTCTCACTCACGTACGACGATATAATGCTACGATGAAAATTATCTATGAAGATCGTGAAGTCGATCCTCGAATACCATCAACATGTCAAGTTAATTTCAGTGTAACTGATTATAAAATATCTCTTTATTATCAACAATTATGGGCATTAGCTCAATGTTATGAAGTAGTCAAAGAATACGAACAAAAAATGAATATTGAATATCAGTTGTTGATTCAGTCACGAGTCAGTATTGTTTTAGGAAAAGTACCATCGACATACGAACGAAATGGTACAATGAATGTGAATACAACCATGCTTGTCCCATCTAAACATTATTCTGATGGTTATGATGACGGATTTGCTATCGGGCCAATAGATCAAATGTCACATTACATGTTACGATGGGATAAATTACAAAAATGTCCTAGTGGAATCTTACACCCCGAAACATTTTTAAAACATATTCTACAAACATATACAACTTTTCAAGTTGACAACGAAACATTAGTTGATGCTATACAACGTGGGCAAAATCAGTGTCATTAGACCTCTAGCATTCGAATAGAGATGTACACAGAGATGTGCGCCGCGTCGATCATTTTTTACCCAACGCCGCCGCTGAAGACGGAAAAAATTGTTGCGACTTTCGCCGCCGCCGCTGACAGCGGAGAAAAACTGTTCTGACTTCCGCCGTCGAGGGCCGAGAAAATTTTTTTCCAATTTTGACTATTTTTGTTAGTACGTTCTCACCTTAGGCATCTAGCGTGCAGCGCGTTTCTATCTTTTCGTACACGGCAACGTACAGATACAGTTGGTGCGCGAAGAACGTGCCAGAAATGAAAGAGAACGTTGTTTTACTTAAATTATGAGATTCACCGCCGATAGCCAATATTCAGACGCCGCCGCCGCAGGAAATATTCATAGCTTGGCGCCGCTTATGGTAAAAATTTCATTCACCGCCACCGAATTTTTTTATCGGCGCACATGTCTGGGTATACATATATCTCAGATACATGTCTGCTGACATCTGCTTCACATTTGTCACGTTTTCTTTCTCTAGAAGAAAAAGAACAACTGTAGTCTCGCATTTTGTTCTTTCATTGACAAAATGGCGGAACAGAAACGAAAAAGAAAATAAATTTAGTCTAGCATATTTGAAGACGCACAGTAAAGTAGCCTAAAAGTGCAACATATCTTGTTCGACGTGACGAACTCAGTCAAATCAATATCAAATCAGTAAAAAAGTTTTGTCATCTACGGTATGGAGAAAATACTATTCATCCAACGTCTGTTCAAATTTTTCTCTGATTGATAGTGAAAGAGCCTGAATGGAAATTAGGCCAAGGTCAAAAGTCTTTTCTATTTCATAGTTTTATTTTCAAGACAATTACTACATCTTTCTAAAAATATTTTATTAACTAATATGCAAGAGAGACAACATGACACTTAATGGAATAATCTTAGTTACTGCTAGGTATGCACCGGTTTCGGTTACCAAACCGAAAAACCGATATTCGGTTACGACCGACACCGAAGAAACCGAACAGTCAAGAAATTTCCATAGATGGTAGTATTTGTATTTGACGATGGTTGCAAGAGAATGCTAATGGCATTCATAGCTGTCTTGTTCTCTCTCACACCAATGTATATTGATGTAGGTCGCCATTAGTAGTTAATTCAGACTTAGGAGGGTACCTCTCCAGATGTTCAACATTGACTTAAGAAACAATGACTTTATAGGTTATATGTTTATACATAACTCAAATATAATTTATATTCCGGTCGATCGATCCCTGTTCATCTATTCCTCTAGAGTAGGTTGGGGTAATTCGGGACAGCCTCTCTCATTTTCACAGTATTTTGAACGTACCTGAAGCATTTTTCCTAGGGAAAAACAACATTGTGCGATCTCAATGCGGACGACCTCCTCGGGTGGAGCTTGAAAAGAGGCGTCGAATGCATATGTTTTTATCTTGTGTGGATACGATTTTATGGGGAAAATATAGTTCATAAAACAGGGCTATTTTTCGGAAATAACGATTCTTTTAAAAATTTCCCTTAGAACGTACTTAACATTTTGGAACTTTTTGTCCGTTAGTGATTTGGTACCTCTGCATATATAGAATCTAATCTGACGGTATTAGCTCATCAAAATGTTTCACTAAAAAATGGTGAATAAGCCCACAAAAGATCTGTTCTGCTGGAAAATGCAATCCCAACAGGTCTAGATGACCACCGTGCCGTTGTTTTAGAATCTTTTAAACGCGATATTCGTCATCAGGAGCCTAAGTTGTACTAGTCCTGTTACTCTCGAACAATTCGGATAAAGTCGATGTAATTGTGGTAAGGCGTGCGTAGTTCAAAGATCGTAATTCAAAAAAATTATTTAGCTTCTTTATGTATGATTCGATAGAGAATTTGAAGCTGATCACCAACAGCATTTTTACTAGGGAAAAACGACACTTCGCCGGTGGATAGACCGAACATTTCTCTAATTTCCTAGCTCATGGTTCTGAACAATTGCGCCGTTTAGCACGGTATCAAAATCTATTTATAAGACAGCAGAAGTTGTTTTCTGTCTCTCCCATACGATTTGCACGGACTGTTCCGAATTACCCATGCCAAACACTTGAGTATCCATAATTATCCTAAACAAGAAAAATAAAAAAAATGACTCTGTTCGTTCAGTTTCGTAATTTCTAATTGATTAATGAAGGATATGTCCAAAGAACTAGCAATTTACCAGGTACACAGCTCAAAATTCTCTACAAGATGATATAATTGTTTGTTAGAAAGGTAAAACTTTGACGTTGAAAAAAAGTTGTTTTACTTGCTTCCAGCCATTTTTGCTGGACTATCTAGAATTACCCCAGTGAGACACACTGAATGTTCCGAATTAGCCCAAATAGGGTTGAAAGGAGCTCTGTGGAAATTGATGAATACTAATTAATCTTACTGAACTTTAACAAGATTTTTACATTAGGAAATAGAGAAATGTTCGGTCTATCCACCTACGAAGTGTTGTTTTTTCCCGAGTAAAAAGGCTTCATTCAAAAAATATTTCTCTATTTTCTGAAACCAACCCGAAACTTCTAGTTTGAAAAATGACTGAGATATCTTGGAAGTAGGAAACGCTGTAATCGTAGAAAGAGATTTTAAGAGAAAACGTTGTGCAATGGTTGAAGAATTAAATATAGATTTGTGCTGAATTGTTTTAGGATTGGACGAGTTGCGTTACACTGGCACTGGATAAATTTCACGATTTTTATACATCTATGATGTTCAACAATAAGTAACTAGTCTTCGATCGTTAACACTCCTATAGAACTAAAATTAAAACAGGCGAAACAAATACTCAGCAGGTACCATGAATCCTGCTGCTACTTTTGTCTTTCGATGAATTCAGATTGTGTTTGTTCCATGTCTAATCTTCAACTACTTTCTTCCTTCGGAAAATGTGTCCGCAAAATATTTTCTTCTACAGGCAATTTTTCGGGACACTGTACTCGAGAAGAGATTTTACCAAAACTCTATCCATCCCATTTGATAAAGAAAGAAATTCTGTGTAAAGAAAGCTATTCTTTTTTCAGATATAACATCTGCTCGATGACCAGAATGAACAGCGCATATCTCTATCGTTTTTCTAACAAAAGTTATTCTAAAAAACATCCACTGACATTATATTTTGAGTAATGTGATCTATTTTGCAAAATGGAATATGTAGAAAGATTTGTACGATTTTGTAAGAAACAATGTATTCAAAATTTTGGGAGTGGAGGGCGGCCGTTGGGTTTTAAAAATCTGGAGGGTAAAGCATTTGAAAAGCAAAAAAGAATCTTATTTTTGTGATCAACATGACTAATTAGATTTAATTATAGCGGCTCATGAGTTTTATAATCATTTTTCACAAAAAGATATAATAACAGTTTTATTTAACATATACAATAAGCAAATTTTGTAATTTATTTAAATAGATCTTAGTTTCAAAATGTTCAATAAACATGAACTTTTTATGTTGGCTTTTAAGAATACCGATGGACCATTCCACCAATTTTTTTCAGATATTCTTTTATATTTTTGTCGAAGGAAGTATGGTTATTGTTGAATTAGTGACACTACTTTATAAATTTTATCATTATTACCTATTACTATTTTCTTGGAATCAATTGAATAAAATCCATAATGTCAAATAATTAACATTTTCATTTCAAATTCCAGATTAGTAGCCATAATTGTTGTTTGTATTCTAAAATTAAAATAATTTTGGTATATAAGCCCAATAGCATAACTATCAGCTTGTAAACATTTTACACTAGCGAATATATCGGACGATGGATGTGTAGCATAGCCTGAAGTAGGCAGGCAACAGCTTTTTTTCGTATTTTTCAAAAAACGGTTTGTATTTTCGCAACAACGAACTGTGAAATTTTCTGAAATCAGCAATTTTATAGAGCAAACATTTCTCTACAAGATGGCATAAAGTAGATATTTTTAAAGTTGCTGGATTTATATGCTGAATTCATACAGCCAAGAAAGAATGAGATGATCAAACGTGGTAAAGCGAAACTGACAAGAATATAATGACTGATGATCAAATGCTTATGTGTAGAAACTATTCCCGTAGAATTTGATAATAATTTCAAATTTTTTGTATCTTAGATCGTGAACGAGCAGATTTTATTGCAATAAGCGATGCTGATACGAGATTGATAAAAAACGGGACAGTAAAATGAAGTATGTTTAATGTTGAATCATATGTTTTCCACAATGAACGATCTATATAGATGGTTGCACACCACGAACGTTCTTCAAGTGGATCATTGATGATTTGGTGACAGATCGAATCATGTGCAACACTCGCCATTGAAAGAATAATAAGACTGATAGATACATACTTGGCCAGAGTTTAACTTTGCCTTTTGCGTCTGTTGAACGATGCGCCTATGAAACACTGCCGACACGTTCAGGTAGGATATCGGAGTTTCATTAAAAAACTTTCATTAAAAAGAAGTTCATTAAAGTTTTAACGAAATTTCCTGTGTGTTCGGTGGCTCTCGATTTTCATTCAAATTTTTAATGAAATTTTTGTGCCATCAAAAAATTTTAATGAAACTGTCACAGCCACTTTGCAGGAGTCATTTTAATGAAAGTTAGATAAACAGAATATAAGTTAAACACTCGAAAATAGGTATGTTTAAGCGGAAAAAAATTATACATATAGGGAGTAAAACAGGTTTCTTTTGCTAATATATTTGCGATATATATATATCAGATATAGAAAATTTACAGATTTCGTTATTACATTCAAGAAAAGAATAGTGATCTTTAAGGAGGAGTCAGTCCAGTGACCCTGGAATTTTATTAAAATTTTTAATTTTCAATTCAATTTTATTTTAGTCCAGGATGTTAATAAACTGACAGGGTAATGACAAAAGCTCAATAAAGAACTTGTCTAGGTCATCCCCAGTAAATGGGGTTCTTTCATCCGCTATTTTTTGATCGATCAATAGAGAATGCCTTCTGACTTTTTGCTAATTATGGACGCGAAAAACGTCGAGAGGACATATTATGGAGTAGCTTGATCTTTTATCTGTGAGTATTTCATAAAAGTATTTTCATAAATAATCGTTTTCACGAAGATTCGTTTTTTCGTAAATTTGGTTACTGTATAGACAAAAACTTTAATAAAAATAACTTTCATGAATGGAATATTCCGATATTATGTAGTTAAGACAGAAGTAGTTAAATTGCAACTACTTCCAAAAGGTAGGCTCTGGGGAAACATTATAATGTGGTTAGAAGTACTAGAGCTTTAACTACTTCTTTTTGTACAATACATGTTAAGAAATATTTTCGAAGTCCAAAAGGAGCACTCAGAAGAAGTAGTTTAATTATAAGTACTTTCTGTTTATCTCTATCTATCAATAAATAAATAAATATTTATACTTCATTTGAGTTTGATTTATTCAACTAAGGTGCTAATATGAGAGAATGAAAGTAGTTCTGTTGTAAATAGTTGGATTCCAACTACTTCCTTCGCAGATATTGGTAGTTAATGGCAGGCAAAACTATAAACTACTCTCTTCAGAAAAAAACCCAATGAACTACTGACATTTACCATGTCTTACCTGTTTAGTTTGTTGATGGACATTAGACGTCTGTGACTTTGTAGTTTCTGTAGACCTTGAATAATTTTGTTAACTTTAATTTTGTTTTAGTAGTTGGTGTGGAGAACGTCAGTGACGTGACTTTGTCGACTGGAGTTGATGAGAGGAAATCAAAAGTAGAATTACAGACAGAAGTAGAAGTAAGGGTGTGAGTGTTTGATTGTGAAATAGCAGTGGAATTAGTGGAGAGGCTTTAAGAAGATGACGACTTCGAGGTATCAAACGCTGCTGCTACAGTAGATTGGGGTCTTGTAATAGGCACAAAAAGTAGTCGCAATGCAACTACTTCTCATATGCATTATATATAAATAATCTATAACAGTCTTCTTTTTGGAAAAAAAAGGATTTTCATTAAAAACATTTAAAAATATTCAAATAATATTTTTTATTCTTTCTATGAAAGCCATTTTTTCGTCATAAACCGAAAAAAGGAGAATTTTGATGAAATACACGAGAAGGATCTTCCTAAAATGATTATTTAAAGTTTTTTTATGAAATACCCACAGATAAAGATCACCGCGCCTGTACTATGAGTCTTTTCTTTCAATAAAGGAAAACAGTTGCATGGTACACTCTTATCAATAATGTCATAGTGAAACCACATCTTTAAATGCTTGGAACTCCTAGTTTATTGTAATATAACTTTTTTATGAATCCACAAAACTGCACTTAGTACGAGAGAGCATATACACATATAGAATAAATACTGTTGTACAGACGTGACAACACCTGTAAGTATATGATTGTTTATGCAGTTCTAACGATACATTCACGTTTGGTTGTGTTTGTTAGATGATGATTATCTCTGATTCGACGTTCAGGATGATAATGAAAGATTTTCAATAACTCAACACGAAATGTTCTAGCTGAGAGTGTGTAAACATAAAAGTTAATACTATGATAAGCATTTGATAATAGAGCTATTGTTTGTGCACTAAAATCATCTGTAGCTAAGGTATAGGCACTTTTAACTGAATTCACTGTTAATGTTGTATATATTTTCTGCATGGCTAATGGTAATGTTAATGGAATAAATATTAATATTTGAAGTAAAAGCATTTTTACCAATTGATTATTTTTCTTTAGCTGTTGTTTTAATGTTGCATTGTTATTAGCCATAATTCGTCGTTGTGATGTTCGAACATTTTTAATTGTTAAAATTCCAAAGATAGCCATAAGTAAAGGTGGTAATAGACAGTACCATGTTAAAAAGAAAAAATCAGAAAAGACCGGGTAAATATTGAAACCTGCTTGTTGAAGACACGATGGTACAAATTGGTTATATTGATTTCTGATAAAGGTTAATTTAAAATAGACGAGGACATGAACGTAGATAATGAATATGAAACCGCTGATGATACCAATTAATGAATATGCCACAGATAATCGACTAAATTTTCTTCGTCGATAATCTTGACTAGAACTCGCATATCGATCAATTGCTGCGAGAACAATTAACCATGCTGAGAGTGTGCGCGATGAATAAAGAATATAATATTTTGTTTTACAAAATGTATCAGAACCCGTATCTGTTGGTATACCAGCATATTGTGTTAATAGACGTGTAAACAGGGAAAAGTAAATGACAAATATATTGGCAATCGATGATGATAAAAAGTAGATAGAACACGGTATAAACTTCAATGACCTTTGTCGAAATATAATGATATTTAGAACGTTACCAATGCTGCCAAGAAAAATGAATAATATTGGAATATACAAATTGAATTGTTGAACAACTGAACCAAGAATAGTGATAATGGTCGAATTTCCCATTGTAAACGGTGTGTTCTGAATCTTGAATGTGCTCAATACAATATTTTTCAAGTTCTACCTGTAATATGAACGACGAGTAATTTCCCGTATGGTCATTATATCATTTATTAATATCAAATTCGTACGCATGCGCTGTATGCCCATGGGATATCGGAGTTTTCATAATAAAAGCTTTCGTTAAAAGGAAGTTTATTAAAATTTTTAATGAAGTTCTTGTGGCATCAAAAGCTCTAGCTCACAGTTACTGTGCAGGAGACATTTTAATGAAAGTACCGACACTTTCATTAAAAAAAGACGCTTTAATCAACGCCTTTTTAATGAACGTCACCCAATCCGTGTGTGTGCGTTCGACATAAATACATTTTGTCACCCTATAACTGAAGTCGGTTTTGAAAAGTCGATCGAGAGTTAAATTACAAAGCGTGGCGGTAAAATATCTACAAATAGTAGTCGGGTCTCAATTAGAGCCCATCGGGTCCATGATTTTTGGACCCGGGCCCGATGATAAAAATTTATTCAAACCCGGACCGGACCCGGTTGGTTAAATTTTTTTGTATCCGGACCCGGACCCGCTCTAAGCAAATTCTCGGATCCAAACGCAATAATTAATTCTTTGTGATTCGGGCACGAATCACTCATATGAGATCTATAATGCAAAATTCTAGTTCGGATTTGATAATCGATCCAAAGATAGTATATCCTTTTTTTTTCATTTTTTTATGTTTGACAAGTAACATATTTAGAGCCCATCAGGTACATGATTTTTGGACCCAGACCGAACTCAATGGGCTCTAGTCTCAATACAGATAAGCCATCGACGCCCAGTTACTTGCGCTCAGATGGGTAGCCTACCGTTAACTACGGAAAAACTTGATATAATTAAAGTTGAAAAAACATGCAATACTTTATGTAATCTAAAACAAAAATCCATCCATACAGCAAGAAAAACATTATTCAAGTACAGGTCACGTTATCACAAATGATGACTTTGACGTAGTACTACGGGAGAAACATCGCTATAAACTGTTTGTGGAAGAACCGTTAGTCATTAGATCACTTTCTCCGTTTCTTAATGGTACAGATCGTTCCGTACCATGATATGTGGATTCCAACGGTATACTATCAGTTCTATGGAACAGAAAAAACAGTGCGCGTAAAGGTTCAAGTCTATATTCTGTAAACAACAAGAAATAAAATCAGACCATATACGACCGAAATTCTAGAAAAAATTGACAAAGAAATAGAGTGAAAAGTGATGAATAATGAATAGAGAATAGAAGAAATAAAAATAAAAACGGAAAAGTTCGATCTCTCTCTCTATATTTATACTTACATATTTGTCGATCGCCTTTTTTTCATGAAAGGTACAATGGCTATGCAATTTACTCATATAAACATATTGTGCTTAGTCTTGTTTTTACGTCACTGTAACACACTGTACTGATTCACTTGATAATGACCGTATGAATAGGTCGAATATTCGTGTTTTAACAATTTTTGTATTTATTTAAATAAACTCTTAATTATGTTAAACAAAGTTAAGGGTATTTCAGTCGCAATTGCACTAAAATTCGTATTTCTATTGTAGCCCTTTATTAGTAAAAGAATGTTATTGATCACACATATTGATGTATCGGTTGTTATGTTACATCACAATACGATATTTTATCGCGATCAGTGTCACACCATGATATATCGTACTTTTTCCGTCAGAAAACGTCTCATTGGTACATTCTTTGATTTCTTCTTCGATTGAATATACTTTAAAAAGGTCGCACGGTTTAACTGTACCAAGCTGACACTTTTTCAATCTGAAGCTAAAACGCTGAATCAACATGATGTTTTAACCTTTCGATTGGAAAATCACGTCAGATTAAAATTTGAATTTTTAAGGAGATGCTTCGACGGAAATTGGGTTTGACTTAAGGGCCCCCCCCTCAGAAATTATCTCGGACACCGTGCATCCGATCTTGGCGAAACTTTCCATAAATGTTCGGCACTATTAGTTACGGGAATGAAAAATTTTTTTTGTCTCCAAGTCTTACGGTTTAGGAGTTTTCCAGAGATCAAGGTCCAAAAGGACCCTGAACGGCGTCCCAAGATTTTTTAATATACTTCAAGCTGGAGAGTTCGGGTTTGTTTTATTTTAAACTAGACACCTAACTACATCGACTGACCGGCGCCGATTTTTTAATTAAGCCT